TTTTAAACTATTGAATTATTAACACTGTAAAAATGTTATAATACTAAGTATTTGGTAAGGACAAAGAAACAAAAGGAGCTTTTATTCAATGTTGGTGGAAATGAAAAGACCCACAACGCTTTGGAAAACAATTTGGCCTCATGCTGTGGAGCTGGGCATTTGCATACCTTACTAAGAATTTCATTCCTGGGTGTGCATTTCAGAGACACTCTTGCCTACATGGACCAGAAGACTCATACAAGAATCTTCACAGTGGTATCATTCACAATAGCAAAACACTAAGCATAACCTTGATATCCATTAACAGGGAAATGGGTCAATTGTGGCCTACCCCGCCATGGCATATACAACTGAAGACTGCATACACAGCAGGGAAAATGAACAGCAACATGGATGCATTTTAGGAACATAACATGGAATTTTAAACAAGCATGTTTTAGAAGATTACTTATAGTATAATATCATTTCAATAAAATTCTAAAGCAAGAAAAACTTTATTTAGAATGAATAGATATATAGCCAAAGCAAAAGAAAACAAGTGTTTGAAAAGGAAGGACACTAGACCTTTTGTTTTTCAATTGCAGCTCTGGCTCCCAGAATAGGATGGAGAGGGGCAGGGGGGGAGAGTAAGGGGGGGTGTTTCCTTACAGCATCCTGGCTTGAATCAGGCCACACCCACAGTGCAGTGTTCTGGATCATCACCAACACGTGTAAGGTGCCCATGGGAGGTCAGGGTACCTGGAGCACTAGGTACAGAGGCCTGGCTAGAGATTCAAATGAAATGGGCTGGGTTGAGCACAGGAGCTAAGAGCTGAACAGAGGCCAGCAAGGAGAGGTAGAGGCTGCACCCCGGCCATTCCGGGGGAGATGCCTGCACAGTGACATCCTATACAGGGTTCTGGCTGCTATTACTCTATTGCCCTTTCATGCTCAGATCATCCATGAGGATGTGGAAGACACAGAAGTGCAGAAAACACCAGACGAGGATTCTCCCAGAGTCTATGAAGGCAGGAAATCACATCTGAAGAATCAGAGTTGAAAATCAGACAGTGTTTAAACAAGACCCAACCTGGAAAAACAAACAAACAAAATAAAAAATAAAAAACCGTACACCAGTACACAATCAGAGAAGTATTAAGCATTACCAACAAAAGAAAATGGTTGGAAAGCCATGACTTTAAAGACTAGATGGTTCATGTATTGTTAGTATTCACTGGGGAAGAAGTTAATGACCATAAGTGCCAGTCCTTCTACTGGAAGCAGGGACGGAGTGTGGTCCAGCTAGGTGATTTGAACTTGAATGTGGAGGGTAATCTGACAACTTCAGTAGGGAGTAACCAAACTTGCTTTATAGTTTTTAGAGCTCACTTGGGGAAAAGTAGGCCAATTTAAATAACTCCAGCCCTAGTGGTTCTACTCAGTGGGTAGAGTGCTGGCCTGTGGACTAAAGGGCCCCAGGATCGATTGTCAAAAGCACAAAAATAGCCTGGGTTGCAGACTCGATCCCCTGTGTAAGGTGTGCAGGAGGCAGCTTATCAATGTTTCTCTCTCATCATTGATGTTCCTCTCTCTCTCCCTCTCCCTTCCTCTATGAAATCAATAAAAGTTGAAGAGCACAGAATATAACTCCATTACTAAGAAGTTGTATTGTGTTGAGTTGTGATTACTTTGCTCCACCTGAGCAATTGGAAACATTGCGTACTGTCTAGGAAAAGGCCTGATATAAGTACAGTAAAAGTGAGCTAATGAAGACCAGCTGGTGCTAACACTGGCAGAGGAGACTGTCAGGGGTAGGTGGCCGAGCTATCTAGACAGAGCCAGGGCTGTACGCCCTCTGGCAGTGCCATTCTAGCTGCGCCCTGATTCCCAGACACAGGACTCGAACCCATGCCCTAGAGAGGTTTCCCATCCCACAGCGGCTCCAAATGGAGGCGTGCCTGAGCCAATGATCCCTGCAGGCAGAGCGCTGGCATCCTCCTGAGCAGGTGCTGATGAGCCAGCAGCCATCTGACCTTCTCATTTACGTGGGGCCAAAAATAATAATAATTTGTGAAGAGTTTTTATTAACCTCGAGTGAAGTCACAAGGCAAAGTTAAGGCATGTAGAACCAAGCCAGGCATTACTCTCTAGCTGACTTTTAAAGGTGAACCGAAAATCACCCACAGTAAACTGTATAAAAATCGACACTTAAAGAAACAGCAGGTACTAGCAGCAACGAGGCAGTTGATGGATGGTTTGCTATGTGCCAGCCACCGTGGTAAGCATTTGACAGGCAACATCGCATCTAATCCCCATACCCGATTAGGAGGCAGGTACTAAGAACATCCCTGTTTTTCACTGGACGACACCGAGGTGGAGAGATGTGAGGTTGCTTGCCCAAGGTCACACACTGGTGAAGTGGCTGAGCCAGGCTGCTGGATCTCTAAGCCCATGCCCATTGCCACTTCGCTCCGCTGTATTTGCAGTGAGGGGCAACGCTGGTCCAGGCTGCATCGGAACCCACAGGAAGTTTTCTGATGGGAGGCGGTGAGGCGATGGAGAGCATGGAGCAAAGTCTCGGTGCATCCTTAGAGTTGAGAGCACGGCTGGTATGGGCAAGGCAGAATCCCATGGACTCCAGCCTTTGGAAAGGCAGATTTCCTGGGAACCTGCACCGGAGTCCATATTCGATGACCCCTTAAAGGGGTTTTTGACTAGTGAAGAAAGGAAAACTCTAAACAAATGAACTGTAGGCTATAAAATTACAAATTACTCCATTGGAAAAAAAATTAAATCGATCCACTCAGTTCAACCTGTGTTTGTGAAGAATGGCACCAATAGAAATCAGTGGGGCCCTAGCTGGTTTGGCTCAGAGGAGAGAGTATCTACCTGCAGACTGAAGATTTCTGGGTTTGATTCTGGTCAAGGTCATGTACCTTGGTGGCAGGTTCCTCCGGACCTAGTTGGGTACGTGCAGGAGGCAACCAATCAATGTGTCTCTCTCACATCAATGTTTCTCTCTGTCTCTCCCTCTCCCTTCCAATCTCTCTAAAAATCAATGGAAAAATACCCTGGGGTGAGGATGAATAAACAAATTAGTGGGACTGCAACAGGAGACTTTCTAACGGGCCAGATTGTAGAAGGACACATAAGGAAGATTGGAAAAGGGACATGAAATCCAGGATAAAAGGCGGCTGGAGCCTGAGGAAATAATGCAGCAAAGAGGCTGAATCTGAAAAACAATAACAAAAAATACCCTGAAGACGGCAAAATAGTGCTGTTTCTTTTGGATTGGGAACAAGGAGAAGACAGACCCTGTGCTGAGGCAGATGGTATTATGTCACAGGATGGGGAAAAGCAGGATTCTCAACTCTCAGCTTTTCTGTTTTCTTTATTGAGGCAAATGGTCCTCAATCTAGACATGTTAAGCAACCATCTAGAAGAGGAAATTGAATCTGGACAGGTGAGAAAAAAAGGGAGAGCAATGAACTCAGATGTCTAAGCCCCAGTGTAAGATGATACATATGTAGAGCCTTGGATGTGGCATTATTCAATCAGAATTTGTTGAGTGAACCCTATTAACCCTCTGGTGTTGAAAACACTTGCAGCTGTAACCCCAGTCTTTGAAAACTCAGGAAGCCTGGCAGAACCCAAAGATCTAGAGATGAGCACATTTTTCGCTTCCCACCTGGGAAAGACACATGAATTCTGATCCCTGTCAAAACTCTAGGTAGGATTATTTTTAAAATTGTGACTATTTAGAAAGACATTTAGAGATTACTAAGGAACCCACTGGTGTTTACTAGGAAGCCATGAAAAACAAATGTCATGTCCTTTTCTGAGTGGAGTTGCAAGGTGCCAATAGATATGGCCCACGATGGGGAGCTTGATTTCAGGAAATGACTTTGTTACCAAAGTTTCCAATCAGACAAGATGCAGAAATGTAGGCTGCATGACACCAATTAGATGCATTTAGAGTCTATAGAAGAGTTTCACTCAAAGGTTGAGAATGGTCCCTTGATGGGTTATCTATCACTGAATCCCAAGTACCTAAGGTACTACCCAACACCTATTTCATGAATGAAGGAGTGAATGAATGAATGAATTCAGCAGAAGTTAAGAGCTGCATTGTAGCACCAGTTTGCACATTAACTAAATATATAACTTAGAGCATTGCACATAAATCTCCCTGGATCCCATTTTCCTTATCAATAAAAGGAGATAGAGAGATAAGGAAATTCATTTTTTAAAATGTTTTTAATTGATTTCAGAGAGGGAGGGAGAAGGAGAGAGAGAGACAGAAACATCAATGATGAGAGAGAATCATTGACCAGCTGCCTCCTGCACACCCCACACTGGGGATGGAGCCTGCAACCAAGGCATGCACCCTGACCAGGAATCAAACTGTGACCTCCTGGTTCAGAGGGCCAATGCTCAACCATAATCTAAGTTATAAGATTATATGGATATAATTTTTTTCTATGAATCTCAAAGCTAATAATATTATTTATTCATTTGCCCTTTCTTTTTGCCAAAAATCTGAATGCCAGTCACCACTCCTTTCTGACCAAAAGGGGTTTGAGCCTCTCTGCTCCACGAAGGAAGCCACACCCCACCTGGGCACTCAGTGGGCATTTGATGTTGGAGGAGAAGGAGATAGTAACCAGAAGGATTCTTGGGTTTTCTTTGGAGAAGGATGTGATGCACAAACTTATGGAAGTTTGCCTGATAACATATGAGAAAACAGAAGGGTCATTTGTAACAGGACATTATTAAGGGTATATGACCTTGGAACTGAAGTATTCATGTCCTGACTGTGGAAGAGGACCTCCCCTAGAGCATGCACAGGTGGGTTTTATTTTTCATGTCCCTGACCTGGAGGCATCAACAGGCCATCGGGGGACTGCTGCCCGCTGAGCTCTTTTTGCTACAAACACGGTCCGCTAAAGTAGCTCCAAAACAGTTTGATCAGGTGGAGAGAAGCGCCAATCTAACCCATTTGCCGTTGATTTCTTAAGCAGATTCAGGCACACAGGATGAAGCACAGCTTTTGCAGGAATGGTTTAAGCTGGTTCTGGAGAAGAATAAATTAATGCGATATGAGTCGGAGCTACTGATCATGTAAGTAAGGCAACGTGGATAGCAGCGAGGCCTGAACGCATCTCAGGGCGGGAGTGGGGTGGCTCACTGGCCTAGGTGGCAGTCCCAGGGTTTTTTTCTTCTTGTGCATACAAAATTGTGATTGAGGCAAATTGGTACTTGATGCCTTGCATATCATGCTGGCATTAGTGCCGAGAATCTTCAGTTATCTATTCTGCCTGTGAAGTCCTGTAGCTAAAATAGATTTCAGGTAATGGGGCTGGAGCTGGAGGGCATTTGGAAAAGTATTTTCAACCCATCCCTGCAGCCCAGACCAAAGGGACCCACCTGCAGCCACACACCTGCCACAAGGAAGCATGTCTCTGGCCTCTGAGTGTGAACCGCGGGAGAGGCTTGGCAAGAATGGCCTGTGCACTTCCTTGTGGCTTTAGCGAGTTGAAGGCTAGGATGTCTGGCTGTCTTCACTAAATAAGGGACGGCAGCCTGGTTTGAAGAACAGAAAGAAGAGAGGGGCCGGGCTGGTGTGGCTCAGTGATTAAGCATTGATCTATGAACCAAGAGATCACAGTTTGATTCCCAGTCAGGGCACATGCCCAGGTGGCAGGCTCCATCCCCGGTGTGGAGCATGCAGGAGGCAGTCAATCAATGATTTTTCTCTCATCGTTGATGTTTCTATCTCTCTCTCCTTCTTCTTCCTTCCTCTCAGAAATCAATAAAAAAAATATTTTTAAACAGTTTTTATTTTTTTAAAGAAAGTAGATTTGGATGTCAATACCCTCTGACAAAATGGAAGGTCATGATACCTGTCACCATTCTGGAGAGGAAGTAGCATTTAATGTGGGTGATTTCACTTATGCTGTCTCTTTTCATTTTTACCCCAATCCTGAGAGGTAATTGCAGTAGGGGGAGCTATCTTTTTATTTATTTATTTTTTATTGATTTTTTACAAAGAGGAAGAGAGAGGGATAGAGAGTTAGAAACATCGATGAGAGAGAAACATTGATTAGCTGCCTCCTGCACACGCCCTACTGGGGATGTGCCCACAACCAAGGCACATGCCCTTGATCAGAATCGAACCTGGGACCCTTCAGTCCTCAGGGCAACACTCTATCCACTGAGACAAACCGGTTTTGGCAGGGGGAGCTAACTTTTAACATGCCTAATACATTCTACTCCTCTCCCCTGGCTGGGTTCTGGACCAGGTGAGAAATAAGACTACCAAGCCAATAGATGAAACTTCAAAAGATCACTTTTGTTGCTGATAATGGCTTGGCTAAATATTAAAACCCCGGGTAAGCTTGCTATCTGTGTTACTGTCCTAGAGCCAGAATAACGAATTGCCACAAACAGTGTGTTTTACAACAATAGAAATGTATTCCCTCGCTGCTCTGGAAGAGGAAAGGCTGAATCAAAGTGTTAGCAGGACCATGTGCCCTCTGCATTTCTAGCCTCTGGTGGCTTCAGGCATCCCTTGGCTTGTAGCTGCATCCCTCCATTCTCTGCCTCTGTCTTCACATGTCCTTCTCTGGATATCTGTGTCATCCACTTCCTTTATAAAGTGGACTCAGGGTCCACTGGGATAATCCCAAATGTTCTCATCTCAAGGTCCTTAACTACATATATTACATCTGCAAAGACTTTTTTTCAAATAAGGTCACATTCACTGGTTCCAGTGGTTATGACGTGGATATATCTTTTGGGGTCATTATTCAACCCATGACATGAACCCAAACTCCAGAATTAGACATGCTTATCTATATAGTCACAAAAATATGATGGGCCCACCTCTTTTTTTAATGTATACTTTTTATTTTATTGACTTCAGGGAGAGTGGAAGGGAAAGGGATAGAGAAATAGAAACATCAATGAGAGTGAGAGAGAAAAATCAATTTGTTGTTCCACTTATTTATGTACTAGAGGCCCAGTGCATTTGTGCACAGGCAGGGTCCCTCTGTGTGGCCTGTAGGGATAGGGCTGAAACCTGCAGTTCAATGCCACCTGCAGCTCCTATCTGCCACCCCTGCTCATCCCGGCCTGTGCCTACTACAGGGTTGTGCCCAATCAGTCCTGATGGGGAGAGGTTTGTGCTGCCACAGCAGTGCTTGCCAGCCATGAGCCCTGCATCTGGCACCCTCCCAAGGGGAGTGGCCTGTGGAGTCAGGCTAACACTGGCTCTCTAACATCCCCAAGGGGTCCTGGATTGTGAGAGTGGCGCAGGCCAGGCTGAAGGACCCCACTGTTGCACAACCAGGCCAAGGAGGGACTGCTGGAGGGCTCCAAGGTGTGTTCATCTCATCTTGCTCAGTCCTAATCGGCCAGACCCCAGCAGCAAGCTAACCTACTGATCAGAACATCTGCCCCCTGGTGGTCAGTGCCCGTTATGGTGAATGGTAGAGCTGCCTTAGCATATAATTAGCATATTATGCTTTGATTGGTTGTTCAGTTGTTCTGTTCAGTCTAATTGCATATTACCCTTTTATTATATAGGATTCATTGGTTAATTCTTGTATGTGCCCCGGCTGTATAAGGACAATGCTCTTACCAACTCAGCTATCTGGCCAGGAATTCCCCCCCCCCTTCCCCCCAGCTCCTACAACCAGGGGGCTGTCAGAGTTTTGTTGTCTTCACCTGGACAAAATGTCTCCTGTTTCTGCTTTCTCCTTTTCTTGTCCACCAAAGTCAGAATTGGAAATGGTTATAGGTGATACTTAAAGTCATGTTACCCTCAAAAGAGCAAAGAGTTTCAGATTGTCCTTGCTTCCTCTTGGACTATTCTGGTCATTTCCTCATGACCCTTCAATAAAGGGTGGTCTTCCAAAAGCCTACAGAGGTTGAATCTCACCCTTCAGTTCCTCCCATCATCTCCTGAGCCCAGCACATCTCAGCAATCCTCTCGGCACCTTCAGTGACCGGCAGCAGCAAAACATCCAATTTAGAGAGATTCCAGTTTTAAGAGGGAAGAAGAATGCCTTAGCTACTGTCAGTGAGCTTATTTGTCAGTGTGTCTACACACATTTCTAGTATTTATAAGGTCTGAATGCTTTCTCATCCTTAGGGCCCAAGAGCTAGAATTAGAAGATCATCAAAGCAGACTGCAGCAGAAATTACGAGAGAAAATGCTTAAGGAGGGTGAGTACGGTGATGTGTTTTGGGTTCTTATTAAAGACATTTCCCCCCAGAGAGACACCTGAGCAGAGCACGCTGCAAATCTCAGAGGGGAGGGCCCTCCTTCCTGGGAGTTAGAAGGGAGCACAGAGCCAGCCTTCCCTCTGCCTACCTTCTGCAGCACAGCAGTCCCTGTCCAGCTTCATTCACTCAGGCTGGGAGAGCGGCTCTTTGCTCCATCCCAAGTCTGAATAGGAACAAAGTCATTTATTCACACATTCATTCACTCACCCATTCATTCCTTTAGCAAGTATTTATGGAGGATCCAGTGTGTGACTGGCATATGGAGGAGATCCACTGTGTCCTGTGGTCCCTGTCCAGGAATTATGGTACAGTGAGATGAGCGCCATGACATAGGGGTTTGGGGACCACATAGGAGATGGCAAAGGAAACATCCTTCCCCGCATGGCGGGGCTGGGGCATTGTATGTGAGGAAATATTTCACCAGGAAGGACAGAGAATTGAAGTAAACGCATTGACACGATATACTGATTTATACATCCATTGGCAGCTGGGCACGTTCATTCTGTTTTGCACTGTATGTTTGTGGGCCAGACCAACGCCTGGCTTTCTTACATTAAGACCCTGGGTCTAAAAGAACAAGTCAAATAATTCCTCTATACCTAATGGACAGAACACTGCGCCTACCTACGGGTACAGGGCAAGCACGTAGTAAGCATTAGGCGTCATCATCATGAATATTTTAATTTTGGTCTTTCATCCCCATTTTACAGATTAGAATACAGAGTCTGGGAACTTCACAAGCATGCTCAAAATAAATGATAGGGATGAAATTAAAGTACAGATCATCACAGACTCAGGGTCTTGTGTTAGTATTGACTTGTAGACTGTTTCTTTATAGCAAGAATTCTATTTCTAACAAAACCCTTACAGAGCTGCATGCTACAGGACAGATGTAAGTGGTATACATCACTTTTTATTGTCAGGAAGGGCTTATAAGGGTCTGTTGATGACAAGCCAAAATTGAGAGAAATTTAAAAATTTTTACTGAGTTGATTATCAAATAAAGAGCACCAAACTGAAATATACTTAATTAACAAACCATAGTGTATAACTGAGGTCTGATTCACACATCTGATACCGATTTTAATGTGTTCTTTTTCAGGGGTGGTAAAATAAATACCACCCAAGACTCTATTAGCCAACCTTCAATTTTTTTTTAAACAATTCTTACTGAGGGCTGATGGTCATACCTTTTCTCACCCCTCTCAGATGTACAAAAAAAAAAAATGCAGCTTCTTCATTTTGTCTGTATCTGAGCTCATCTTCCACAAAAGCTTCATCCCTCTAATTAGCAAGGAAAAAAAGGAACTTTATACCCCCTTCTCTTAGTCTGATGCAGTATTTTAAACAGTTCCCGTAGGAAATGCTCAGTCTCTTTGGGATGAAAATATTCAATCTTGCAGATGGTCACCCCTTCCTTCTGCTTTTCCCCCCAAGGTAATGGGGAGAGGCAGGTTTGTGTGAGTTTTGGGCCTTAGGAACCTGGGTGATTTGCGCTGAGACACAGAGTCCCTTCGCAGCTATCTGCTGTCATCGGGCTGCCACTGTCTCTGCCAGCATTTGCAGCTAAGGTGTGCGGCTGGCTGATCCACAGCCTGCCCTTGTCTGGGCGAGCTTGGAGCCTAAGGCCGTTCCCTGGCTCACCAGCCTCTCAGAGCAGCCTCCATTCAGCTTGGCCACGGCTCACCACCTGATCTCACTGTGGGGCCACTTCACTCCTCATCCTGGGGGAGCCCCAGAGGCCCACTGGCCGGATCCCTTTGGCAGCTCTGGGGCAAGTGAGCACTTCTAGGCTCCATACATGCCACACACATTAGATCAAGATCAGGGGAGTCACACTCACTCCCTATTTCTCTGCCCAAATATAGAGTCCTGCCTGTTTATACATAGGGTGCCCTCTGGCTGGCTTCTTCCCAGTGTTCCAAACAAGACTTGAGGCAACATCCTTGTCTTGTTTGGATGTTGTGTTCCCATCAAATGATACAACATGTCCTGCCCCCTTGGGGGTTCTAAGGTGCAGAATGGAGAGACTGGAACACAGAGTTCTCACCGGCCCGTAAAACATGAGCTGCGAAGGGAATGATGCTTCTTTATCTCCCTGTTGTCATATACACCTTCTTCCTGGCCCCACCTAGATCCATGTGAGGGGCGGCAACCCTTCGCCACTCTGGGATGGGGCTCACCTTGGTCCTGATCTATTAAACGGAAGGGGCTGACGGAATTCATGAAGTTTCCCAAGGCAATGATCTGGGTGACAAGACTTAAATTTGGCTTTAAAGTCCTGTTTTGAATGTAAGAAAGGCATGACTGCAGTACCTGCCTCTTACCCTTTCTTTCCCTGTCTTTGTAACAATGTTATGGCTATTTCAGGCTGTGAAGGAAGAAGGTCACGTGCTCCAAAAGGCTAAGGTGAAGAGCAGTCACATCCTCCTATTGGCCAGCTGTGCCTCACCGTGCTTTCGCCTGGTCTCTCCCCAAAGGGCTACGGTTCATCATTAACTACAAATTGAAAAAAGATTCTCATAATTGAAGCACTGGCCACGGGTGTAGGCAGTCTGCTTAGAAACTCTGCTTACTGTAGCTCAGACATGTTTAGGGAGAACAGACATTTTGTTGTTTGTGGACATTTTTTGTGTGTGTGTGTGCAGAAAAGGGGAGGGTGAGGGCTTGTCTGGTATTAGCTTCTTTTTCTCACAAAGGGGTTCTCCCCTGTCACTTTAAATATATCCTCAAGTTGGAAACTGAGCGGCCGGCAGCACAAAGCACCCACCTTTCCAATCAGTGGCTCTGAGGGCAGTTCCCTAGTGATTGATTCTTTTCCTTGTTTTCTCCATGGAAATTAAAGGGCAGCACACGTCTGGGACAACCAAGAATGCAGAGGCCAGGAGCTCTCCCGGGGCCAAATCTTCTTACCTGAGGTCCGATGTTTTTCTTTTTCTCTAGAGAGCCAGAAAGATGAGAATGATCTAAAGGAGGAACGAGAAATATTCGATGAGATGATGCAAGTGATTAAGCAGAGGGACCAACTCGTGGATTCCTTAGAGGAGCAGCGCATCAAAGAAAAGGCTGAGGACCAGCGCTTTGAAAGCTTCATATTCTCCAGGGGCTATCAGCTGAGCAGGACGTGAGCACGGCCCCCTCACTCGGAGCCAGCCAAGGACGGGATCCTGCCCAGCACACCTCACACACTCCGACTTCCTTTGGCAGCATTCGTCAGACCTGCGACTTGAGTTACCACCATACGGCAATATGTTTTCAAAAATTAAAATTCTCTCACATGTGCTACAGCTGCCCCAGATCCTTCCTTTCAGAGATTATAATGGAGAAAATACAAAGACGCTTTGGGAATCGGCAGTCCACCTCAGCAGATCTCTCCGATTGGAGGTGGCCTTGGCAGGTGGCCAGCATTGTTTTCCCTAGAAGTTGACACAGATGGACTTTCCTTCTGCTTTTTACCACGTATCTGCCCAATGCATTGAGTTGCACATCTTAAGATTTGTTAAGAAGCTGCCTTTTCATTAAAATAGCCACATTTGCCTTTTTTCTTTTTTTTCATGGATGACTGGTTTCCAAATGTCAGAAGGAAGCAGCAGTAGTTTAAAGATTAGGTTAATATTTAAATTGTTTCTCCAGCGAAAGAGGAGAAACCTTGAGATTACTGATTACATAAAGCAAATAACTCACATAGCAGGTGTTAATTCAATCCAGGGTGGATTTAATTTACCAGGTGTACTTATAAGCCTTAATGTAATATCCATAAGCAAAGAGAGTTTAATAGGACATTTGAACTTTCACTTTATTTAAAAAAAAGAAAGGAAATAGAACTTTAACTTTGTACCAGCAGGGTCACTAATTTTCACCAAGTACTGTTGGCTTAGAAAGGCTTTTTATTCTCAGAGTACTGTCCTTATGGCCCCTGGGACATACTGGAAAGCATTTTTAGAAAATGAATATATTTTTTAAAACTGTTGGGAATGGCAAAGGGAAACGCCTTCATTTGTTGATAAAACTATGTGTGAGGTTGGTGCTGCTGTAAAAATGCACACGCTGGTGACCCAAGGTAAGGCACCCGACCCAGTGGTGGTCTTCTTGGGTCCGAAACAGAGAAGTGGCTCTGAGACACTGCCGAGGTGTCCCAGAAACCCATAGGACAAGGACAGAGCCACTTCTGACTTCAAGGTGCAGCTGAGCACAATGACCCCATTTAACACATCCCAAACTGGGTCCTGGATTTTGTAGACATTTTCAATGTATTATACAAGGAAAGCTAGGAGGTGGAGTTTGTGCACTGATGTAGGATTCCTGGGATGTTTTGATGGTTCGTGTGGAACCAAAGAAAAGATTTCAAATGGTGATCTGTTGTCATAAAGTATTTGTTCTCCCTCAATGGGATTCTGTGAAGACTGGCTCTATCATCGACAAGAGGAAGACTGGAGGACCCTTTGTTGCTGTATGTTTGGCCTCTCTTGTTTCTGCAAGTGTTTAAATGCGTCATTAGACAAAAGGTGCTTTGCAACAGTCAGCTCTGACTGCAGACCTAACTTCCCTCAAAATGAGTTGAGCCATGAACCATCTCTGTCTGGGATGCTGTCTATATATATGGACCTGGCCAGCCGACAAGCCAGAAATAAGAAGTATAACTGGATTTTCCGAGTCCACCAATGTTTGGGGTCATATTAAAACATGATATTTCCATGGTATATCAAGCTCCTAAGGTTGTTGGGTTTCCCCCCTTCTCTTTTCTTTCAGAATCAAGTCTTTTGATGCCTAAATTCTAAAATTAGGAAGCATGAATAGGCATCTATCTACCTATCTATTTATCTACGAAAACTGTATCTCTTACAGCTATTTATCTATTTTATTTATTTGGTGGAAATTGCTAATATGATTTCCTCATAATTCTGGTTTTCCTACGTTGTAATTTGGAGAAGACCTATTTTCACTAAGATGTTGGTACATAAGCTATTTAATATACAAATAACTCAGATGTTTGGAGCAGAGAATTATGTAGTATTAAAGATTTATGGAGATAGTCAAACTAATATTTCTAGCCACCAGGCAATTGGAGGTGAGACTATGGATGTGCAGGAATATTACTATTTTAAGAAGGGAATATATAACTTCAATTTTCATTCTAGAATGTGCAGACGTATTCAAGCCCAGATTATATACAAGTGCATCTTGGATGCTTGCGTACATTTAACAGATGATGCTCAAATGTGTAGTGTCTGGGTTGTTATTGTGCAAAAGAATTAACTGCCACTTATTTAAATTTGTTCTCTTTCCACCTAAAAGAAAGATTCTTTCAAGAAGGCCAAGAAAGAAGGTAATTCTTGGCTCCAGTATTGTGTTAATAGATGAGAGAAGCAATTTGTTCACTTTTACTTCCACAGACTATACTCTGTGGTTTAAGATTCTGTCTTATCTGGCCAAGTTAAGACATAAATCTCATACTTGCACTGGCCTTCCGTTTTACCAGTACATAGAAACTATTTCAGTGATCATTTCCAAAAGGACGCAAACATTGCGGCCGTTAAAGTATTTTAAATGATTCCATTCCTTATTCACAATAGAGACCCTCTATTCTTAGGCTCTCAAAATGTATCATATTGTACATTTTAAAGACAGTTTTTTTGTATGCGCTATGAATAAGATTATGATGAAAACAGACACTGCCTTCACTGTCCCCTGAAAGATCACTTGTGATCAAAGCTAAGCAATGTAGGACGCTGAGTGAGATGGAAAGCCCAGCCAGCCTGAGGTCCTATTTCATAGTCTCACACAGCTTCTAAGCGAAACCAAAGGCTCATAATAATATTTTTAAATATATATTTTTTATTGATTTCAGAGAGGAATGGAGAGAGAGAGACAGAAACATCAATGATGAAAGAATCATTGATTGGCTGCTTCCTACAGGGCATTGAGCCTGCAAACCGGGCATGTAGTCTGACCAGAAATCGAACCATGACCTCCTGGTTGGTAGGTCAATGCTCAACTGAGCCACACTGGCTGAACTCATGATGGTCTTAAGTTCAGAATTTTTCATAAGTTGGACCAAGAGAATGATTCTTAAGCTTGCTCTCCCAAACCACTCATTTATTTATCTATTTGTTTAAGAAACATTCTCAAAATGCCCATCGGGGTTCTGCTGCCTTGTGCTAGGTGCTGGGATACAGAAAGAATATTTTTCCTCCACTCTGCCCACACGCAAAACAATACAAACATAAACAAGTGCCACTCCCGAATAAATACAAAGATAAAGAACTACTTTTATTAGCAGCATCAATCTCGTCTACTCACATTCATCTTAAGCATTAAGACTTGCAGCCCCAACTATTGTAGATGCTGCTTTGGCAATAAAAACACAAATAAATCCGTGTTTCTAAAACTGTGAAAAATAATATCAGGTTCTACGGTCTCATTTAAACCTTGATTGGCTGTGTTAGGCGGCTCTGGGTCAATCAATGCTGAGATGCAGCATGCTAACTGCAACTGAGAGAGGAAATGGCAGGTGTTTCCACCTCTGAGGAGCGGCGGCGCTGACATTGATGTTTTCTGCATTCTGGAGGCCAACGACAAGTCAGCAGCGTCTGTCTTCCAGGAAGCAGATCTGCAGGCTCTTCCTTGCAAACTGAAAATGGCAGCATGTCTCCTCCCAGGTGGCTGATCACAGAACTCCCCCAGCAGGGCAGAGGGGGCAGGGGGCAGCTTGGGCTGCCACATGAACAGAGGAAATGGCGGTGTCTGGATGTGGGGAGCCGCGATGTGGGAGTTTATTGTAATAAGAAGGTTCACGCACAGGGGAGCGTGTGCTGTCTCACCTACTGTTTATCTTCTAGCCTCACTGCTGAGGAGCTTGTCAAAGATTAATTTGCTCCCACGATTGGGAACTCTTCGTGTGGATTGAAATGTGTTACATGTGCGCTGCTGTAAATGCTGAAACGGACCAAAAATAAATGGTTTTGTGTCTAAGAGATAGAAACATTTCCATGGGGGCCGGGCCTGGCCCCTCTGAGGGCAGTGTCCATTTCACTTCTTTCTTCTCGGTGAAAGGACCCAGACTCAGCTTTGGTTTCGTGTGGGAGTCAGTGAGTTAATTGTGGACGTTTGATTCCCATTGGAGCACCTGCAAGGACTTACCTGACCAGCAAATTGGAGTCGAATGGAGGGAGAGAAGGCTCACCTCAGGTGTATTCTCTCAACAAAGAGAGCTATTCTCAGAGGTGGGGAGGTGGGGAAAGGGAGCCTAGCCTAGTTCCACCTCCTGCCTCTCCTCCCTTTCTACCTGGGGAGACTGGTTTTGTATTTCATTTACTCAACAGGAATGCTCCTTTCTGCACTGCACTGGCCTTCCATGCACTTTTTGAGGACTGAGATTTCGCTGTGTTGTTATTTTGTTCTTTTTTTAAAATATTTTTTTATTGGTTTCAGAACTGGGAGGGAGAGGAAGAGAGATAGAAACATCAATGATGAGAGAAAAATCACTGGTCGGCTGCCTCCTACACACCCACACTGGGGATCGAGCCTGCAACCCGGGGATCCTGTGCATTGACTAGAAATTGAACCATGACCTTCTGGTTCATAGGTCCACGCTCAATCACTGAGCCATGCTGGTTGGGCTGTTTTTTTTTTGTTTGTTCATAATCCCAGTGCATGCAAATTCATGAAATGTGAGCGTGTAGAACATCAAAATGGCTACGGCAGCTTAAGGAAGTGGTCAGTCCCATCATTTCACGCTGTGTTCCCCATTGTTTGAAAGCTTTTGTCTGCTGAGAGAATATGTGAAATGATTCATTTTTTTTCCTATTGAATATCCACCAAAAGTAAACATAAGTGGGATGAGAGCTCCTGCTTTGCAAGTGCTAACATGCCCAGGGAAAGTGCCAAGGAAAGGCCGGCCACCTCTTGCAGTCTTCCTTGGGCCTCTGCTGGAGCACAAGTGCCTTCCTCCTGCTCAGGAGCTACAAGCTCTTGGCCTTTCCCTGACCCTAAGCTGCCACACACCATCCCTCAGCCCTCAGGGCACACTTGGTATTTCATGCTCACTCCCTCTCCCGGCTCCTTTCTAGAAGAAAAACTGATGCTGCCTTGGCTCCTTGGGGAGCCCTCTGCCCCTGATGCTGGTAAC